TTCAGTTCAGGTCTCCTTTGTTCGGGAGACTTCCTTTGAGGCCCCCGGAATCTTCTCCTCTCGGTTCTTTGTGTCAGAGATGAAAAGGGCGCCGTTTATTATGTCTCCCAGTAGCGCTCCAGCAGCCAGGAGCAGCCCAGCCACTCAAGCATTGAGCAAGGTCAGGAGCGAGCGTCTCCTCTGACTTGAAAAAGTGGGTGGAAAGGGGAGCGAGATGGGGAGAGAGATGGGGAGCGAGATGGGGAGCGAGATGGGGAGCGAGATGGGGAGTGCGATGGGGAGAGAGATGGGGAGAGAGATGGGGAGAGAGATGGGGAGAGAGATGGGGAGCGAGATGGGGAGCGAGATGAGGAGAGAGATGGGGAGAGAGATGGGGAGCGAGATGAGGAGAGCGATGGGGAGAGAGATTTACAGCGAGAGTGTGTGTGCAGGAGACAGCGGAGGGAGATGGGGGGGGGGGGGGAGAAAGGAGGAGAGAGGGGAGGGTTCAATAGAAAGTAAAGTAAGAGGAAAGTGAGAGCGCTCGAATTCTGCCTCTGCCTCTCTCGCTTTTCCTGTGGCTGGGATTGACTTCTGTGTGAGTGGAGAAAGAGCTCCTCTGCCGTGGGACTATCATCTCACATCTAGTCTCATCACACACAGGGCCGGCTGGTAGAGCTGTGCCTTAGGCCACACAGTAGGAGCCACACAAGATACTGGGGGCTACACTGCTTGTGAAATTCACTGAAGCCTTTTCTACTACAGTTTCTGTAGCAAGACAGAATATCACACACAAGTTCAACAGGGCCAATATTTTATAAATGGATACAGCCAGACACAATCCCCAAACGTACCATAGATACAGTAAGTTTCTGGTTTCATTTCGAGATAACTCAAGAGGTAGGCCCGATCCCCAACTATGTAAGCAGGTTTTCTAAACTCCCTTCAACAGCAGATTAAATATTATTGAAATGACTAATCATCCGTATACTATAATCATATGAAGAATAAGAGATATACAGTAACATATTTTAGTTCTCAGGTTGTCAACCATCACTCTACCCAAACTGGCACGTAAGTAATTTTTTTGGGCACCCTAAACAGTTTAGTAAAAAAAATTCACAATAATAAAAAATATAGACATTTGTGATCATGTCTTAATTGTAATCAAGATATGAAATTATTGGTATTTTCAAATACAATCTCTTATTGGGCTTAGTTGTGGTCAATTTGCAGTGCACAAATTTTAATTATGTTCCGGCCCGCGACCATCCGCTCCGACAAAAATCGTCCCGCGGCTACCCCTACTCTAGGAAAAGGCATTCTCTATCTTATCAACCCCCTCTCTTGTGCAGAAAACAGGACAATCAATGAGTGTAGGCTGTAGGACATTGTATAAAATTCAGCATAATCTGATAGGAACAGTGTTTCCTCTTAGCCAGTGTGCTACAGCCAAAAGCTGAGGGACTGAAGTGGGCTTTACAGAAGTAACTCAGTTACACAGTAGGGAGGGTATCCAAAAGCACAGTGTATTGTGGCCTCCCCATGTATTACAGGCTCAAAAAGTTGCTTTCAATGATTTCTGCTGTGTTGGAAATGGCTTGTGAAAAGTAAGCAGAAAGCCGACACTGAAGACTCTGAAAGGAGATGGAGTGCCGAATGACGCAGGATAAAGAAAATAAGTACGATCAACATCACTTGGGCGGTTTCTCTTCTTCATTGAAATGCAGAGGATCCAGCCCAGGCCACACGGTCCCACAGTTGGATTTGGAATAAATTCATTTCTCTCTTTGCCCCTTCTTTCTTCCCTTCCGTTCCCTTTTAAATTTCAGATTTCCATACTTCAGTCATTGGATTTCCAGTGAGATTTCTTTTAGACAATTTCTCGCAGCTCCAGCTGTGCCACTCAATGGCATTCGTTCCCCTTGTTGGCTCGCTTCTCCACATTTTTTGGAGTGCGGCAAATTGCCGTTGACACGAGTCAACCGGAATTACCCAATGCAAATCCTCTTCTGGGCTGGGCCCGGCTCTCGGATGTTTGCATCGAGCGAGGATGTCACAGTGGAGTTTAACAGAGGTAGGATGACACACACTGGGTGCACCTGGCATTGCTAGACTCCTCTCCAACTCCAACTGATACACAGAGGGATTGACAAGGAAGAGAGAGGAAGATTAACTACGTGACTATAGGGTATATTGCCAGTTACCTGCACCATTTCCTCCTACACTTAGGCTACTTCTTGTAGGCTACCTGGCCTCTTTACAATACCATTATATGTTGTCCTGTGTACCACCCATACAACTTTCTTCAAACAGTTATTAAAGGGAAAGTAAGTGAAACAATACTTTTAGTTTCTAAATAAGTTCTGATGTAAGGATACAATTTATCAAACATTGTTTAACAAGACATTTCATTTGATTGCCTCCCAAAACAATATTGTGCCTACCTAAAATAGTCTCTGTTTCTCAAAACAATTAGAACACAAAGTAATAATCATTACATCCTTGAATAAACAGCCAACTGATGCTTTGGGTATTCAGATGAGAATTTAATGAGCTGTAGGATGAACTGCTATAATGATGATGGGTCAGGAGGACTAATGGGAGTATGGAGAAAATATACCCCATTAGAGAACATATTATGACACACACACGAACGTGGTAACATTCTTAACTTCTAGGCCTCTCTGAGCTGGCTCTAAGGCACTGCATTTATGGGCTCCCGAGTGGCGCGGCGGTCTAAGGCACTGCATCTCAGTGCTTGAGGCGTCACTACAGACCCCCTGGTCCGATTCCAGGCTGTATCACAACCGGCTGTGATTGGGAGTCCCATAGGGGGGCGCACAATTGGCCCAGCGTCATCCGGGTTTGGCTGGTGTAGGCCGTCATTGTAAATAAGAATTTGTGCTTAACTGACTTGCCTAGTTAAATAAAGGTTAAATATAAATAAACTGAAACTGGGCAGTTTGGGTATTGTTACTGGAACTAGTGGAGTTAGGACGCCACCTGCTGACAATTCTTTGTAATGAACACTCAATAATTGGCAACATGAAGAATTGGGGCCCATTCCATTTGAATTCTGCTTATTATGTGAATGGGTCTAATTGAAACTGCATTCAATACAACTCCTAAATTGCTGCAGTTGCAATAGCTCCTATCCTGTCGTGTATACGGTGTCTTATAATCTCAAATGACATACTTCAAAGACAACGGAAAGAGATTTAGAACCTTCTCAACGTGCAGCAAAACAAGTCAGTCTTGGTCAAAGTCTCACTTCTATTTGTTTTTATTTTAATCATTATGTGAAAAGAGCCAACAGTAACAGCCTAAGTATCCCACCACCAACCAACCAGAGGGCCTCAGCCCTGCAGCATCCACACAGCACTACTTGTCATCAAATGAACAGAGAATACAACACTTAATACACACACAGATACATACACTTTGGCCTCATTCAAAACAGGACTGGGACAGGCCACAGTATTGACAAATGAATGATATTGCTGATCAGAATGTACATACAGTTCATAGATGAAGGCAAAAAAAAAATTACAATGAAAACAATCATGATATTTGTTAGATCCAGTCAAAGCATAGAAGTTTTATTGAGGCCTTTATTATCTGAGGTCATATGACTGACCTTGCTACCGTTAAATACAAGATTTGCACAGACAAAGGAATGCAGACAGAAAACCACCTTGAGAGGAAACAAATCATATGACGAGGGAAAGACGTGATTTGGCAGTTGTTTTGAGCTCAGGTCCAGCTGGCATTAATATTCTTACAAAAGATTCATCTATTTCTAGTACAGACATTGACATTGTTTAAAAGGGTACAATCAATTTCCAATAGGCTAAATCACAAGAGAGACACCTTGGGGGATTTTCAGTGGGGTTGTTGCTCATTTAAGAGAAATCTCTTGCCTGTGTGTCTCTTCTGATTATCAGGAAAGTAAACTATAATACAGTTACCTCCCGGAAATGGAGGCACGATTAACCAAAATGTTTCAATTTATAAATCAATGTGTCACATTGTTTCATTTCCCCCTGGGAATTGCTATGGAGAGCAAGCACAGTAGCGACAAATACTTTTCCAGGGATCCTCTTTCGGCAACTTGAGTATGGTTTGGAAACTTAAGACACCAAAATAGATTCAAAACCTTTATTTGACTAACCAGGTTGGAAAATGATCAATAAAAATAAATAGATTGTGTTGACCCTTTCTTGTTCTTTTAGTAGCTTGTGTTAATGCAACAGAAAATTGTCTCTGGACAAATTACATAGATTTTATAAATAGCGTGGGGAAAAAAAGAACATTATTTGAGTCAGTCAACAGCAACCATGTATACAAATAAACAAAAGCAAAGAACCAGCTCTGAAATGTGTTGTTTTAAAAAAAAGAGAAGGTTCTCGGAACACATTAAATAATTTAGTTAGGTGGATTTGAAAACAATGGGTTGGCATTGGGAAATTATTGTTAACCAAAATCTGAAATTACAGTTTAATTGATATGAGTGGGCCTAACATACTATTATAAGTGCTTCTCCTACAGAGTTACAGGTAGCCTAAACATAGAGGGGAAGGGATTAATTTTTCAATCGCCAGTGGAATTGCATATTGATTCGCCTGCATTTCCTAAATAAGGGGCTATAATTACAGACACATTCCTTACTGTCTAAGATTGTCAACATTTTTGGCTTAAGTCTTGCTTTTTGAGCAACTTATTTCTTTAAAGTATTAATAGTATTACAAACTTATTAGGTCTGGGTTTTCCAAATAGAGCAGGTACATCCTACAATACAACATTCATGTGCGGGTGCATAGTTCAAAATGGGGTGGGGATATTGGTAGGCTAGCTTAGTTTACAGTAGTTTGTAAGCACACTCACTAATCAGGCTATTAGCTACTAGCCTAACTCTAATGGTCCAGGTATGATTCAAGATAGACATCAAAATATATAGGATGCCATGGCAACAGTATTTTGTCAGGAGACAAAGAAACAAATGTAAGTCGCTCTGGATAAGAGCGTCTACTAAATGACTAAAAAAATATTTAAAAATAAGAAAAAAAACCTTGGCAACACCACATCGACCAGGAAATTGAGGATCCGTGTTGATGATTAGAAGAGATCTTTCGTTGTTTGTTGTTGTTTGTTATGCACAGTTCAAGGTGGGCAGAGGGAGATTTGAACAATTATCCTGCTCACATTCACTTAAGCAACTTTGTGACTTTGGCATTAGACTCCTGTTATGTTACAAATCCTATTTCCTCCTCTTCATAGATAGAATCAAAGGTAAGTTTGTTTGTCACCAAAAACACCATGTCTTTTTCATACCCAGGCAGCTAGACAAAATAAATGCTCATTGGAGGATAGATCAGTCATTTTGAAAGCCAGTTTTCCTTTTTTCAGGTCCAAGAGAATAAGAAAAACAAAAATATGCCATAATAACGGTTGAAAAATGCACCTTAGGAATGTCTCCATTCATTCCCCAGTCCACTGAGTGTTATTTGACAAGACCCAGACTCATCTGATAAAGACAAGACAAAGACAAACAGTGCACAAGTTAAATAAATCAATGATGACGCTAAGGTTTAAAGGTGAAACTGATTCACTGCACATTTTCACACAATAACAAGTTAAATATGGATGGTACATAAGAACAACTGTCCTTTAAGGTTATTTGAGGTAGGCCTACTGTTCTTGTATTTGCACTTTCGCAATCTCTAGTCTCAGTGTCGTACAAACTTACAATGCAAACTTGCAAAGGAATGGGATTTGTATACGATGCGTAACACTGAGTGGACGATGCACCTACCTGTCATAGGATCTCACTCACCTTCTTAGGGACCTGGCCTCATATACAGTGTCATCCTCCTCATCACTCTCCAGCACAGCCATCTCCACACTGTCATCATAGTTTGACAACAGCCCATACTTCTTCTTAGAGGTTGTTGTTTTCTTCAGCCTAAACATAACATAATTAATTAAAAAGTCACACACACTGACACTGAAAGTTCAAGTGAAAAAAAACTCTAATTAGGCAACAATTGCTACCAATAGATAATGGTCTGTCTTCAACTTGTTCTACTCACCGCACAGCTCTCACGAGGAAATAGAGCACTCCAATGGTGGTGATTCCAATAAGGACGTACAAGGCCCTTTGTATCATTGAACTATCTACATCGAAAAGGTTGGCATGATTGTTCTTGTACGTCGTGTTACTGGCGTTATTGGCACTCGAATTCATGACATGTTTGGTGATGCCAGCAGCAGTAATGACTGTTGTTGTTGGCGACTTCGTTTTTTCCTCTGCGATGGTTGAAATAGCCCACAGCGTCGGTAAAAGAATCCTCATGACTCCTTGAAATTGCATGTTCATTGTCGGTTTACACTATAAAAATAGACTAGTACACTAGAATTAAACCGGCTCGTCCTTTCAATCGAGATAACAGCAACTTCACATGAGAATTTCGTTGTTAGCATACGTGGTTTAGTTTGTTTTGAACAGTACAACCAGGAAATGCCAAGTTCCTGTTAGTGACGTGTACAGTGGCTTCTTCTTCTTTGATGAGGTTTAACATTACATTTACATTTTAGTCATTTAGCAGACGCTCTTATCCAGAGCGACCTACAGTTAGGAAGTGCATACTTTTTTCATACTGGCCCCCCGTGGGAAACGAACCCACAACCCTGGCGTTGCAAGCGCCATGCTCTACCAACTGAGCTACAGGAGTTGGTAGAGTGAGCTACGACTGTTGGCATTCAACAAATGTTGCATTACCGCCACCTACTAGACTGGAGTATAACGCCCTTATATTTTGCTTTAAAAAATAAAAAATTCAACAAATACCCTACCATCTAACACTACACTCACAAATAAATAATAATGACTACCATACTCCACTATTTAAATCTATGTATTCCTACTTCAGGTCAACAGCCTGAAAGGATGGGACACCACCACTTAACACACCCTGTAACTCTTCTGATGTCAAGTCTCGCACACCCAAATACCTCTCTGCAGCTGCCACCACAACCTCTATTTTCTGGTTCCATCCCTACAGTACAGTTGATAACCATTGATATAAATGCCCAAAATCCAATCTTACTGAAACATATATCACTTGTTGGTTTATCCCTCTGTACTGGTACAGATCTACTACTCACACCAGTCCTCTCAGGATCCCTCCCCCTTGACCCATCTTCCTCTACTTTCTTCACTGTGTCAGCATATGACAACTTCTGCACTACTCTAACTCTGGAAACCTCAACCTGCCTCTCTCGCACCGGACATTTCGGATCCCCAGCCCCATGGGCAACCCTACAATTAACACATACCACTACTTTCCCCAATGCTACACATTCCTTTGTCTCATGCACTTCTGCACACCTTGGAACCTCCCTCCTACACAACGTAATGTATTCGGCACAAAAGCTCGTAACGGATAACTTATATATCCTAACATCACTTTGTCGGGCAAAGATTCAACATTAAAACTCAAAAGAACAGACAATGACTCTTCTCCACTCACGCCACCCTGTCTGCGTCGCAGCAAACGACGAGCATCACAAACACCAGGAATCTTCCCCTTCAGTTGGTCAGCTTTCACATTTACCGCTACCCCAGTAATCACTCCTTTCAATGGTGCCCTTTTCTTGAGAGCAAAACCATTTACATCTCTTGCCCCCATTCGTTTAACACGGAGCGCCTGCTCCGTCTGACCAGCGGAAACACAAACAATTATCACTAGACCACTTCTGGTTACCCTCACCGATTCCACAGCACCCAACTCTGTTTTCACCCACCCTGAAACCACAAATGGATCAACAAGGGTCCACTTTTTCCAAAAACTTCACTCCTACTGTCACAGACTCATCTTTATCCTGACCCTCTGTGCAAACCTCAGGCTCTGAGAACTTCACCACACCTACCACCTCCGATACTTCGCCATCATTCACTTCCATTTCTCCTCCTGTCTTCAACTCACTCTGATTACACTTTCTACCATTCTTCTTTAACAAACCATCTCCCTTTTTCCCGCCATTTTTAACTGACTCAAGCTCATCCTCTTCCTCCCTCTCTCTCTTAGACCTCCTCTGTCTCTCTTTTTCCCTACCTTCCTCCTCCGTATTTAAAGTATAACTCTCCTTATGATAGTACTGCACTTCTCCTGACATACATCTAGTTCTTGCCTCGTCTAGGGACGCCATTTAAACGGCTATCACAATCTACTCTCCAGTGTTGACTGTTTCTGCGACTACTCCATAAATCACCAAGTGACCTCACACGCTTCCTTGACGAAAGCCATCCCCGAAAATCCTTCAAGTCAAAAATTCTTCCTTAGTTGTAAATTTCTCGAAATCTAAAGGCACAAACTAGATTCGAGCCAATATCTTAAGAAGTTGAACTTTTATTACTCAGAACTCGTGAAAGTAACAAATTGTCACGTTTTCATTTTCATCTCCACTTAACAGGGAAATGATCCGTGTACAGTGTCACGGGCATAGATATCCTATTACATTAATTCCTAATTCTATGGTCACAGGTGTTCGTGTCCAGAGGGAGCAAATACTGCTTGAAATGTAATGCATATTCTTACTCATAAATATACTTGCATAGACATAGAACATATACCTCTATGGTTGTACCTCTCTTTTACTGTCAGGTACCCTCATTTACAATGTTTGGGGACATTTTGAAAATAATATAATAAAATAGCTAATAATTTCAACTAGAAAATACAATCAGCACAGAACTTCAAGATTATCTATTTTGTAGGCTCACCAAACAACGGCTTTAAAAACGGAGAAATCCCTTCTATCAATAAAGAAAAAAAAATATATATATATATATATATACACAGTACCAGTCAAACGTTTGGACACACCTATTCATTCCATGGTTTTTATTTCTACACTGTAGAATAATAGTGAAGACATCAAAACTATCAAATAACACATATGGAATCATGTAGTAACCAAAAATATATTTTATATTTGAGATTCTTCAAAGTAGCCACCCTTTGCCTTGATGACAGCTTTGCACACTCTTGGCATTCTCTCAACCAGCTTCATGAGGTAGTCACCTGGAATGCATTTCAATTAACAGGTGTGCCTTCTTAAAAGTTAATTTGTGGAATTTCTTTCCTTCTTACTGCGTTTGAGCCAAACAGTTGTGTTGTGACAAGGTAGGGTTAATATACAGAAGACAGCACTCTTTGGTAAAAGACCAAGTCCATATTATGGCAAGAACAGCTCAAATAAGCAAAGACAGTCCATCATTACAAGTCATGAAGGTCAGTCAATCCTGAAAGTTCCAAGAACTTTGAAAGTTTCTTCAAGTGCAGCCTCAAAAACCATCAAGTGCTATGATGAAACTGGCTCTCATGACGACCGCCACAGGAAAGGAAGACCCAGAGTTACCTCTGCTGCAGAAATCGGCAACTAACTGCACCTCAGATTGCAGCCCAAATAAATGTTTCACATAGTTCAAATAACAGACACATCTCAACATCAACTGTTCAGAAGAGACCGCGTGAATCAGGCCTTCATAGTCGAATTGCTGCAAAGAAACCACTACTAAAGGACACCAATAAGAAGAAGAGACTTGCTTTGTCCAAGAAACACGAGCAACGGACATTAGACCGGTGGAAACATGTCCTTTAGTCTGATGAGTCCAAATGTGAGATTTTTGGTTCCAACCGCCGTGTCTTTGTGAGACGTAGAGTAGGTGAACGGATGATCTCTGCATGTGTGATTCCCAACGTGAAGCATGGAGGAGGAGGTGTGATGGTGTGGGGGTGTTTTGCTGGTGACAATGTCAGTGATTTATTTAGAATTCAAGGCACACTAGTAACCAAATGGATGTCCCTTGAATTCTAAATAAATCACTGACAGTGGATCAGAAAACCAGTCAGTATCTGGTGACAACCATTTGCCTCATGCAGTGTGACATCTCCTTCGTATAGAGTTGATCGGGCTGTTGATTGTGGCCTGTGGAATGTTGTTCCACTCTTCAATGGCTGTGCGAAGTTGCTGGATATTGCATTCTGCAGCAATACGCCATCCCATCTGGTTTGCGCTTAGTGGGACTATCATTTGTTTTTCAACAGGACAATGACCCAAAACACACCTCCAGGCTGTGTAAGGGCTATTTGACCAAGAAGGAGAGTGATGGAGTGCTGCGTCAGATGACCTGGCCTCCACAATCACCCAACCTCAACCAAATTGAGATGGTTTGGGATGAGTTGGACCGCAGAGTGAAGGAAAAGCAGCCAACAAGTGCTCAGCATATGTGGGAACTCCTTCAAGACTGTTGGAAAATCATTCCAGGTGACTACCTCATGAAGCTGGTTGAGAGAATGCCAAGAGTGTGCAAAGCTGTCATCAAGGCGAGTGGTGGCTACTTTGAAGAATCTCAAATATAAAATATATTTTGATTTGTTTAACACTTTTTTGGTTACTACATGATTCCATATGTGTTATTTCATAGTTTTGATGTCTTCCCTATTATTCTACAATGTAGAAAATAGTAAAAAAATAAAGAAAAACCTTGGAATGAGTAGGTGTGTCCAAACTTTTGACTGGTACTGTGTGTGTATATATATATATATATACAGTGAGGGGGGAAAGTATTTGATCCCCTGCTGATTTTGTACGTTTGCCCACTGACAAAGACATGATCAGTCTATAATTTTAATGGTAGGTTTATTTGAACAGTGAGAGACAGAATAACAACCCAAAAAAAAACAGAAAAATGCATGTCAAAAATTTTATAAATTGATTTGCATTTTAATGAGGGAAATAAGTATTTGACCCCTCTGCAAAACATGACTTAGTACTTGGTGGCAAAACCCTTGTTGGCAATCACAGAGGTCAGACATTTCTTGTAGTTGGCCACCAGGTTTGCACACATCTCAGGAGGGATTTTGTCCCACTCCTCTTTGCAGATCTTCTCCAAGTCATTAAGTTTCGAGACTGACGTTTGGCAACTCGAACCTTCAGCTCCCTCCACAGATTTTCTATGGGATTAAGGTCTGGAGACTGGCTAGGCCACTCCAGGACCTTAATGTGCTTCTTCTTGAGCGACTCCTTTTTTGCCTTGGCCGTGTGTTTTGGGTCATTGTCATGCTGGAATACCCATCCACGACCCATTTTCAATGCCCTGGCTGAGAGAAGGAGGTTCTCACCCAAGATTTGACGGTACATGGCCCCGTCCATCGTCCCTTTGATGCGGTGAAGTTGTCCTGTCCTCTTAGCAGAAAAACACCCCCAAAGCATAATGTTTCCACCTCCATGTTTGACGGTGGGGATGGTGTTCTTGGGGTCATAGGCAGCATTCCTCCTCCTCCAAACATGGCAAGTTGAGTTGATGCCAAAGAGCTCCATTTTGGTCTCATCTGACCACAACACTTTCACCCAGTTCTCCTCTGAATCATTCAGATGTTCATTGGCAAACTTCAGACGGGCCTGTATACAGTGGGGGAAAAAAGTATTTAGTCAGCCACCAATTGTGCAAGTTCTCCCACTTAAA